CAAAATGTAATTAGAATAAGATAAAACAGAAGTCAACCAATAAATAAACCAAGAGAGTATTCCAAAAGAACACGGGCTGTCTCTGAGGAGGAGGGAGGGGGGAGGACCACAGTGGGCTGTGAAGGCAGCGGCCACGTTCGAATCCAGAATGAAGTTGGGGACACGTCAGTATTTATTCGGGGCTAAAAATAAGCATTGCACGCATACAGCTAGCTTTGACATGTAAGGTTTCCCGGGAAACAGGCTGCAAGTCGGAGGTGTGTGGTATGACAGATGGTATTGGGGGTGCTCCCTGGGGCAGCCCTTGTCAGCATGGGGGGGATGCAGGAGGGCCCTGGGAGAAACCCAGGTGCCCCAACAGGGAGCCCCTAGCCTTGGCCACCCAAGGGGTGGGGTGAACTTTTGTTCCTCAGTGGAGCAGAAATCAGAGTTGTGACCTGGAATGGGACCACCCTTGGGACATGTGCCTCTCTGGCTGACCACCTTGTGACCTAATGCTCCTGGCAGGGGTGGGAAAGGGGTTGGGACCTTGGGGTCATGTCACAGCAGCAAATCAGCTCTCCAACTTTGACATTTCTGCAAAAATATCATCTGCAAGCAAATCTATGAATGCTATCTGCCATATTAATAATTTAAGAGAAAGAACAGGGGTCAGAGCGATAGGACAGTGGGGAGGGAACTTGCCTTGCACGTGGCCAGTTGAGGTTCGATACCCAGCATCCCATATGGTCCCCTGAGCACCGCCAGGAGTAATTCCTGAGCAAGCTGGGTATGACCCAAGAGAGAGAGAGAGAGAGAGAGAGAGAGAGAGAGAGAGAGAGAGAGAGAACACACTGGACAGAGTACAAAGCTTGCTTACAATTATATATATGTGTGTATATATACACATATATATGTAGTGATATAGTGGCTGGGCTGCAGGGACAGTATAGGAATAAGGCATTTGCCTGGTATGAAACCGACCTGGTTTCATCCCCAGCACCACTTAAGGTCTCCTAATACCATCAAGAGTGATGCCTGAGCACAGAACCAAGAGTAAGTCCCTAGCACCTCTAGATGCGACCCATTCCCCCCAAGGAGTAAAATTAAATTAGAATTTAATTTTAACCAAAAATATTGGTGAGCAATTAGGAATAAAAGGGAATGGCCAACAGATAAAGGGAGCAATTCTAAGACTTTAATAGAAAGTCAGAAAAATTCCCATTAAAGAGCAAATGAGAGGGCCAGGGATATCACTCAAGGACAAAATGAATGCTAGGCATGCAGAAAACCAGGGTTCGTTCCTCAGAACTACAAAACAAAGAGGAAGAAAGAACCAACAAGAAATCTTACTAAATCTGTTGGATATGAAAGCTATGTATGGAATAATAAAATCACAGCACTCCTCAAATAGCAGCAGTGACCAATGATAAATAGAGTTTTGTTTGTTTGACTCAGGAGTAAGTCCTGAGCACACACCCAGCGGTTCTGCGCTCAGGGATCACTCCTGGAGCGGACCGTGGGACCCTATGTAGTGCCGGGTATGAAACCGGATTGGCTGCGTGCAAGGCAAGTATATTAGCTCTGTTGTATTAGCTCTCTGGCTCCGTAAATACAATTCTTAAATACAGAATCTAAAGTTTTGGGGAAATGACTCAAGTCTGATTCTGAGTTGTGCAGGGTCCCCAGAGTACTGCTGAGAGGGGCCTAGGTAATCCCTGAATCCCAGGGACTCTCCAGCATTGCTCACAGGGGTTCCAGTCACCCCTATGACAGCCCTGGGTGTGCCCCCACAACTAAAAATACACAATGTACACACACGTATGTAATATATGTATATCTTCTTTTATTGAAAAGAAAAGAATGGCACACAGCCCAAATGCCAAGGGAAGTTGTCCAAGTTAATTTTGCTTTGTTTTGGGGCCACATTTGATGGTACTCAGGGCTGACTCCTGGCTCTGTGCTCAGGGATCACTCCTGGTGAGGCTCCGGGGACCCTGTGTGGCAGTGGGGCTAGAGCCCAGGTTTGCCATATGCAAAGCAAACTCCTTTTCTGTGGACTTTGGCCCTGTCTAAGTTAATTTGTAAGTGAAATAGGAGACTTCCTGAAAGGTTGACAAAGATATTGTAAATAAGGAGGTAATAGTTCAAAGAAATGAGTTAGCCTGACCCAGAAGGACAAATGCTGGAAGATTCCACTTCTGCAAGGGAGACAGGAAGCAGACTGACAACTGCAGCGGGCGGGGGCCAGGAGTTCTTGCTGGATGGGTTCTTTCTTTCTGTCTGGGATGAAGTAAAAGTTCTGGAAATGGGTAGTGGTGGCTGCCAACATTATGAATGTACTTAATGCCACTGCACTGGAAGCTTAAAAATGCTGGGCCAAGGATACAGTTCAGCAGTAAAGCATTTGCTTTGTTTGATTCCCAGGGCTGGGTGGGTGAGGGGGGACCCAAAACCCCTCAAGGAAACATTGAAAAATAGGGGCCAGAGAGACAGTTCAGGGATTAGCGACTAGCCTTGCATGTGGCTGACTGCAGTTCAATCCGCAGCACTGCATAACACTGCATAACCCTGAGCACAGTCAGGGGTAAAGCCTGTGCTGTCCTTTTGCTGTTGTTTTGTTGTGTTGTGTTTGCGGACCAGACAACACAGTGTTCCGGGCTTACTCCTGGCTCTGTGTTCAGGGACCTCTCCCCCATAAGTGGTTTTCGGATCAAACCCGGGTCAAATATGTGCCAAGCAATCTCTCACTGCACTATCTCTCTGGCCCCAAGCAGCAAGCCCTGAGCTCCACTAGGGCTGCTCTCAAACCGGTTTCTCACCTCCCAAAGTAGATAAAGCACCAAACATGATGGCTTCTTAGTACTTGTGTTGCAAACCACAATGCTCCAAAGTAGAGAGAAAGAGGCAAATTGTCTGCCATAGAGGCAGGGGGAAGGTTGGGATGCGGGGGGAGGCGGGGGGGGGGGCGCGTTGGGACATTGCGGATGAAAAATGTACACTGGTGGAGGGATAGGTGTTCAATCATTGTACGACTGAAACTCAAACATAAAAACTTTGCAACTGTATCTTATGGTGATTCAATAAAAAAAATTAAAAATTAAAAAAAAAAGGAATGGACATCCAACTCAGAGCACCTTTATCTTCACTGACTCAAATCCAGCACTTAGACATAAATCCAGCATTGACAGGGTTAAGTCACAGCTGCCAAGAGACTGGAAAGGGTGTGTGTGTGTGTGTGTGTGTGTGTGTGTGTGTGTGTGTGTGTGTGTGTGGTGGGGGGCCCTGCTGTCACCCAGGGCTGAAGGAAGAACAGTAATGGTTTTCTGGTCTGCTTGTTTTTGGGTCACACCCGCCCAGTTCGCTTATTGTTGGCAATGCAGCCCACACTCATCCCCAGGAATGTTCCTTTGGGCTGTTTCTCCTCCTGCCTGGAGGAAAGGTAGAAAGTGAAGAGACCCAGGTCCTTGGACATGTGAACGTCCTGGCTCAGTCAGGGGTTCCTGGAGCCCCAGAAATTGGACCCGCTGTTTTCAATCCGACTCTCACTTTTTGTTTGCACCTGGAGGGGTGTGTGTGGCACACCCAGTGGTTCTCAGGACTTGCTCCTGGCTCTGTCTGTACTCATTGCTGACTCCTGGTGGGGTGCGGGGGCTTGAACTCAGGTGTTGCAAGGTAAGTACCCTACCCACTGTACCTTCTGGACCCTCCACTTTTGTTTGTCTGTTTTGGGGCCACACCCAGCAATGCGCAGGGGTTTCTCCTGGCTCTGTGCTCGAGAATTAGTCCTGGGGGTTGTGGGGGACCATATGGGATTGAATCTGGGTTGGCTGTGTGCCAGGAAAACGCTTTCCCCGCTGTACTATCATCACTTTAACCCCACAGCACATACCAACTTGGCTGCTATTTCAGACGCTCTGCACATGTACGGTGGGGAGATAAGTGGCAGCACAGAGGGGCCGAGCTCTGACACTGCCCACCTCGGTCACCCGGGCAGTGCCTGGGGAGGCTGTGATGGGCCCCCGGTGCGGTACAGACCTCACGTCTCAGCAGCCCACGTGGCAGCCGTCAAACAGCACGTGAGCCTCACGTGTTCTCGGGCATGACGGAGTAGGGGCAGTTCCACCTGAGCCTGCCGCTGCACGCACAACACACCTCCTGCCCAGACAGGCACAGCCGGCCATGGCAGAGGGATGCGTCCACCAGCAACCTCGTGCCCTGAACTCTGAACTGATTTCCTGGGGCTTGGAATAGTCATCTGCATTATTCCTGTAGGAAGCTGCGTGGTCCCCAATGTCTCCCTCTTTACACACCTGTTGGTTTCTCTTGCTCTCCTTCCCTCCCTTCCTCCTTCCCTCCCTCCCCTCTCCTCTCTTTCCTTCCTACTTCATTCTTCTTTGGTTTTGGGGTCACACCCAACAGTGCTCAGGGCTTACTCCTGGCTTTGCACTCAGCAATTTTTCTTGGTGGCGCTGGGGGACCCTATGGGATGCCAGGGATTGAACCTGGGTTGACCGTGTGCAAGGCAAGTGGTCTACCTACAGCCCCAGCTATCTATTTTATATTTTAATTCCTTTTTAATTGGGGGCGGGGAGGTCACAGCCAATGATACCCTGGGGATCAGGCCAGGGATCAAACTAGGCTCAGCCTGCTGAGGGAGCTCTCGGGCCCAACGCACTGCAATTCTCTGAAAAAGACCGTATGGAGCCGGAGAAAGAGTACTGGGATTAAGGCGTTTGCTTTACATGTGTTTGACTCTGGTCCCAACCCCAGCATCAGATTGGGTGCTCTGAGTATGGCCAGGAGTGATCATTTGAGCACTGAGCCAGGAGTAAGCTCTGAGCACCGCAATGCGTGGCCCAAGTGCTGCCCGCCAAATAAGAGTTGAGGAGGGGTGAGAGAGAGAGCCTGAGAGAGAGGTCAGTGGCAGAATATACGCCTCATATGTATGAAGCCCTGGGTTCGATATTCAGCACCCCCACATTGTAAAACTGTAAGGACTTTTGGGCAAAATTATATATTTATTACATGTAGCTGGTGGATAGCTTTTGGTGATATATATATATATATACTCAATGTTTGAAAACATTTTAAAATTAAAAAAATATCTTTAAACACCACACAACTCCAGGAGTAACTGAGGGCCAAGCAGGGGCCGGGGGAGAGCCCCTCATTCCTCGGCCACCCCCTGGTGAACAGAACCACTTAACTCCAATGTCTCAGCTCTCTGGATTTCAGCTGGGACACCTGGTCCCAGTCCTGACTCCTCCAAGGTCTAGGTCGTCACCGGAGGTGGGTCCACTCTGCTAGGCAGAGCCGAGCTTTGGGTACCCAGTAGGAGAGAAGCTTCTGAAAGGGCCGTCACAGAAGTCAAAGGGGAGCAGGGATGCCACCCCGCCGTGTCCCCCCACGGGCTCTTCTCTAGTCGTTTCTGGAACCTGCGCTCCCGGGAAATCCGGGAGGTAGAAGTCTTTGGGGGACGGAGGAGGCCCGGCCCAGGCGTGTCGGGTGATGGGTCTCAAGTGGCGGGGACGCTGGCACCCGCGCGCACGATCACGCTGGAGTTGGTGACGCGGGCTCCGTAGTGGCCGGCCCAGAACTGTGTGTCCTGGCCCCAGTGCTCGAAGGACACAAAACGGACGCCCGTGATGTGGGAGAAGACGTGGGTGACCTGCGGAAAGAGGATGGAGTGGACCCATGGTCCCAGCCAAGATCAGAAAAGGACACGCGTCCCCTTTCTTCCTGGGTGCCGTCCACGCACGAGGGTGTCCCAGCCGGACCCGGGCCCTTCGCCTCTTCTGCGAGGGTCTGGGGTCAGCCTGGGTGCGTCCGTGGTAGGAGGGGGCAGGAAGGCTGTCTGGGGAAAGGCAGGGCCGCGGCTGCAGTGTCTCTGGAAGCCTCGCGGGGGCGCTGCCTGCGCGGTGAGGAACTGACATTCTCCGGGCAAATTTTTGAATTTAATAAAGAGATACTTAGCCTGGGAGAAGGCTCAGCAATGGATCACAGGCCTGAGATCTCAGTTTCAGCACAAGAGAGAGAGAGAAGAAAGAGGAGAGAGGAGAGAGAGAGAGAGAGAGAGAGAGAGCGAGAGCAGAGGGGGTTAGGTGCTTGCCCTGCACGTAGCTGACCCTGGTTCCATCTCTGGCACCACGATGGTTTCCCCAACACCATAGGGCTCGAGCAGCACCTGGGGCCCTTGCATTGAACCGCAGCCTCCCCTCCCCAAGTATTACTTGAGAGGCTTCTCCCTCCCCACTCCAACCCCACCACCAAACCAAAAATGGCTTGGGACATGAATCAGAGGGCTGGGGTGCAGGCACCACCTGGTTCCCCGGCACTGTAGTTTGTTCCCCCATATTCTGTGAGGCTCAAAAGCACAAAGAAAGATACTTGCACACATGCGTGCACACGAGCACACACATGCACACAAGCATGCATACGTGAATGCACATATGTACACATGCACACACACGTGCGTGCACACACGCACACCTCTCCACATGCACACACCCCCACATGCACACGTACACACATGCATGTACACACATATACACATGGCTGTCTGACAACTCTACAAGAAACCACACAGAGGTTGTGAAGATGCCTTTGGTGTCAAGTCATGGAGTTTCGGGGGCTGTTCTGTGGCAAAGGTCATCACAGGGCCCGTCCCCTTCGCCTACGCCCTGGCACCAGCTCACCTGCTGACAGGCGTCATTATTCCACTGCGGGATGGGCTCGGGCGTGGCCGAGAATTCCTCCAGGACCGTGAAGTTGGCATCTAGAAGCTGCACGACGAGCCGGTACTTGCAGCCACAGTCGTGTCGGCCTCCCCACCTGGGGGAACAGGAGCCCAGCATGGCCTGGAGTGTCCTTATCGGGCTATCTGCCTGCCCCACCCGCAGGGCCTCCCTAGAAGCGAATCCAAAGGCAGCCCGGGGCCCCACCCTCAGCAGGCGCCAGTGTCTGCCTGCCCCACCTACAGGGCCTCCCTGGAAGCGAATCCAAAAAGCAACCCTGGGCCCCACCCTCCTGCCTGCAGCAGGCACCCCGCTGATCTGCATGTACACACAGTAGGTTTATTACTTTTGTGTGTGTATGTGTGTGTGGGGGGGAGGTCTCACCCAGCAGTACTCAGGGCTTCTGGTTCTGTGCTCAAGGATCACTCCTGGTGGAGCTCAGGGGGTGATATGGGGTGCTGGGGATTGAACCTTGGTCGGCCCCATACAAGTCAAGTGCCCTTCCCAGTTTACTATTGCTCCAGCCCCAAGGGCGACAACTCTTTTGTGGTGCTTCATTCACACGCCTGACGGTGTAACAGAAATCTCTCACAGCACCAGGGCCCACAAGTTAAAGACAACAAATATTCAGTCATAAGATCAGGGACCCGAGAGAGAGTACAGAGGCAGAGTGGTGCCTTGCATGTGGCCCGCCCAGGGTTGATTCCTGGCATCCCATAGGGTTCCCCAAAGTATTGTCAGGAATGATCCCTGAGCACAGAGCAAGGAGTAAGGCCTGAACACATTTGGGTTCCCCAAAATAAAATAAAAATCAATAAGCCACAAATTAAAAGATAAAATGTTTTTTTTGTTTGTTTTGTTTTGGGGGTCACAAGCAGCTCTACTTAGGGCTTACTCCTTGCTCTGAGCCCAGGGATCACTCCTGGAGAACTCCGGGGGCCCTTTGAGGTGCTGGGGATCAAACCCGGGTCAGCCAGAGGAAGAGCAAGTGCCCTAACAGCTCTATTATCTCTTCAGCCCTGATAAAAACATTTCTTTCTTTTTTAATGATACCTGTTTTTCTCATTAATGATAAAATCTTTGATACGAGTTTTATTTTCTCTTAGTATTTGTCTTCCATTTATCGTCTGACATTGTTTCTTCTTTCTCCTGGGACATGACAACAGAGCTGTCAAGATCATGCTCAGGGCATGTAGGACACCGGGGATTTGAACTCGGGACCACACACTTGCAAGGCAGGTGTGCCAAGCCCCTGTGCCATTCCTCCAGACCTTCATCCAAGGCTTAAAGGGTGGTGAAAGACGTAACATGCCAATGTATAATGTAGATGCTTTCAAAAATACTTTCCTAGGGCTTTCGGAAATGGGGCTCAGTAAAAGAATGTCTAACATGTGGGAATGTGGCGGAGTTCAATCTCAGGCTCCAGCTCCCATGACAAATGCAATCCTGGTGAAAATGCCACATATGCTCCCAGGAGCCCCCACAAAAAGTGTGGTCTCCACAACACCCAAAAGGAGAGAGAGAACACAAGGGATTGCCCTGCCACAGAGGCAGGGTGGGATGGGGGGGATGGGGGTGGGGGGAATATTATCCATGGTGGTGGAAAATGGGCACTGGTGGAGGGATGGGTATTTGATCATTGTATAATCGAAACCCAAGCACAAAAAATTGTAAATCTACAACTGTACCTCATGGTGTTTCATTAATAAAAAAAAAATTAAGTAGCACAAAAAAAAAAGTGTGGTCTCCAGGACACCATGACCAAGTGTGTGCCACTCCTGCCACTGTAGCAACAACAAACAAAAAGGGAAACATACAATTTTCCCATCAGTCACTCAAAAGGATTCAGCTGGTGATGGGCTGCCAGCTTCCCTGGAAAGAACAACATCCGCTCTCTGTAGATCCCGTGTGTCACTGAGAGTGTAAATGCCAGACAACAAGGAAGTAAACCAACAACAACACACAGTAATGGATGGATAGATGGATCTATTAACACAATTGAGTGAAATAAGCCAGATACAAGGCGTAGTCTGTATGATTCTGAACACATGCAAATACAAATATCTATGTATGTAGGATAAAAATGGGCAAAACTTAGAAAAATTTTTTTTTTTTTTTTTTTTTTGCTTTTTTTGGGTCATACCCTGCAATGCACAGGGGTTACTCCTGGTTTTGCACTCAGGAATTACTCCTGGTCATGCTGGGAGACTATATGGGATGCTGGGAATTGAACCCGAGTTGGCCACGTGCAAAGCAAACGCCAATGTACTAATGTACTAATTACTAATAAAACGCCAATGTACTAATGTACTAATGTACTAATTACTGATAAAATGCCAATGTACTAATGTACTAATTGCTCCAGCCCCCAAACTCAGAATTTTGGGGAGTGGCAGAGAGATTGCTCTATAGGCTAGAGTACATGCTTTATTTTGTTTTATTATTATTATTATTTGCTCGAGCGGGCCCAGTAACGTCTCCATTAGAGACTTTGTTGTTACTGTGTCTGGCATATCGAATACTCTCGGTAGCTTGCCGGGCTCTCCGAGAGGGGCGGAGGAATCGAACTTGGGTCGGTCATGTTGGCCGCTTGTAAGGCGAACGCCCTACCGCTGTGCTATCGCTCCAGCCCACACAGAATATAAATAGAAAATAAAAATAAAAATGTTTCTGCCACACCCAGCAGTGCTCAAGATTGAGTCCTGGCTCTACACCCAGGAATTACTTCTGGCGGGCTCGGGGGACCATATGGGCTGCCGGGAATCAAACCTGAGTCAACCACATGCAAGGCAAGTACCTTACGCACTGTACTATCACTCTGGCCCCGAAATGAAAAATATTTTTCCTGTGACCAGAAAGCTCCAGAGGTCACATTTATTCGTTCAGATTGACTTAAAGTAAAGTAAAAGTAAAGGCCCTCCCGTTGATCGTCGATTTGCTCGAGCGGGCCCAGTAACGTCTCCATTGGAGACTTTGTTGTTACTGTGTCTGGCATATCGAATACTCTCGGTAGCTTGCCGGGCTCTCCGAGAGGGGCGGAGGAATCGAACTCATGTCAGCCATGTTGGCCGCGTGTAAGGCGAACGCCCTACCCGCTGTGCTATCGCTCCAGCCCTGGCTGGAGCGATAGCACAGATTGACTTAGGACGCATGAATAGCTTCCTAGATTTTTCTAATGATTGGAAATATCTTGGAGGCTTCCAAAGCTAGGGATAGGACTGGAGCCATGGTATAGTGGGAGGGCAATGGTCTTGCATGCAGCTAATCACTTCAGTACCTGGCATCCTCTATGGTTCCCTGAGCCCTGCCAGCAGTGATCCCTGAGCATAGGGAGTAAGCCCTTACTCAGAAGTAAGCCCTGAGCACAGCCGGGTATGACCCCAAAAGTAATTATAATAATAAAAATGATGATGCCTGTGACCGGAGTGATAGTATAGCAGGTAAGGTGCTTTCTTGCATGTGGCCAACCCAGGTTTGATCCCCAGAACCTCAGAGGGTCCCATGAGCCCTGTCAGGAGTGAACCCTCAGTGCAGAGCCAGGAGTAAGCACTGAGCACAGCCAGATATGGCCCCCAAACTAATAATAATAATAATAATAATATATAATAATAATAATAATAATTGCCACTGTCCTCCCATTGTTCATCGATATGCTCGAGCGGGCCCAGTAACGTCTCCATTGGAGACTTTGTTGTTACTGTGTCTGGCATATCGAATACTCTCGGTAGCTTGCCGGGCTCTCCGAGAGGGGCGGAGGAATCGAACTCGGGTCGGCCATGTTGGCTGCGTGCAAGGCAGACGTCCTACCGCTGTGCTATCGCTCCAGTCCCATAATAATAATAATAATAATAATAATAATAATAATAATATAATGCCTTGGGCAGGAGCAATAGTACGGTGAGTAGGGCAATAACTTAATACACAGCCACCCCAGGTTTGATCCCCAACACTTCACAGGGTCTCTTGAGCCTTGCCAGGAGTGATCCCTAAGCACAGAGCAAGGAGTAAGCCCTGAGCACTGGACAAACAAACAAAAAATGATCCAATCTGGCATCTTCCAATCCCTTGGGCGTGAGGACAGGGGTTCAAGGAGCGTGGTCACTGAAAGACTAGTCACTGAAAGACTAGTCACTTCCCTGAGCTCCGGTTGCTCTGGGGCCGTGAGGGTTCAGCGAAGTCGCCCCGGCCCAGATCACGCGTGGCCAAAGCTTAGCCAAGGGCTGTCTCGCCATCACACTCACCAGTCAGAGACACAAATTTCAATCTTGCCACTATCAAGCAGTTCCGGCCACAGCCCTTCCTCCTCCAGGTCCAACACCTGCTTCTTGTGACACCACCTAGGCAAGAGGTAGAAGGGTCAGGGGGAACCAGGACACGCTGACCCGACTTGGCCCAGGCTACCGGGACATTCACCTGTAGGAGGACACGAAGCAGGTTTGCGAAGGGGCCCCAGGAATGCTGGTCCGGTTCTGCTCCACCACCCAGCCGTTCCCGTCGTGTCGCACCATCCATTTCCGGAAGCCTTCTGGAGGGTAAACAGGGCTAAGGGGCCCCGGAGGGACAGTCCAGGGCCAGGCACGTGCCTGGCCCCAGCAGACTCTGGCTAGGTCCCCTGCAGCTCATACAATACCCCAAGCACCGCCAGGAATGATCTCTGAGCACAGAGGCAAGAAACATGGCCTAGGACCGCAGCCATCGTGCGCTTGCCTTGCACTAGGCAGACCCAGGTTTGATCCCGGGCGTTCCATGCGGTCCCCTGAGCACCACCAGGAGTGACCCCCGAGTGCAGAGCCAGGAGTAAGCCCTGGGTACAGCCAGGTGTGGCCTCAAAACTGTCACTGTCACTGTCCTCCAGTTGTTTATCCATTTGCTCAAGTGGGCCCAGTAACATTGTAAGACTTGTTACTGTGTTTGGCATATCGGGTACCTCACAGGTAGCTTTGCCGTGCAGATACTCTGGGTAGCTTGCCAGGCTCTCCGAGAGGGGCGGAGGATTCGAACTCGGGTCAGCCATGTCAGCGGCGTGCAAGGCAAATGCCCTCCCCGCTGTGCTATTGCTCCAGCCCGCCTCAAAACTAATAATAATTAATAATAATAATAATGCCTGGGGCCAGCAATAGTACAGAAGTTAGGGAGTCTGTTCCCCCACCTAGAGTCCCCCAGCCCCGTCAGGAGTGATTTCTGAGCACAGAGCCAGGAGTAAACCCTGGGCACAGCTGAGTGAAGCTTCGAAGCTAATCATCATCATCATCATCATCATCATCATCACTGTGACAGTCCTCCTGTTGTTCATAGATTTGCTCAAGCGGGCCCAGTAACATTGTGAGACTTGTTACTGTGTTTCGCATATAGAATGCGCCAGGGGTAGCTTGCCAGGCTTTGCTGTGCGGGCGAGATACTCTCCGCAGCTTGCCAGGCTCTCTGAGAGGGGCGGAGGAATCAAACGCCGGTCGGCCGTGTAGGCCACATGCAAGGCAAACGCCCTACCCGCTTTGCTATCGCTCCAGCCCGTAACAACAACAACAACAACAACAACAACAATAATTAATAATAAGGACGATGGGGCCGGAGTGATAGCAGTGGGTGGGGCGCTGGCCTTGCGCTCGCTGACTCAGGTTTGATGCCAGCACACAGCCCCAATCCCGGGTCCCCCCAGCCCTGCCAGCAGTGATCTTTGAGCGCAGAGCCAAGAGCAAGTCCACAGCACAGCCGGGGGGAGGACTCAACTCAACACTTAATAATAATAAAAATAAGAGTACCTGGGCCCGGACGATTGTACAGTGGGCGGGGCGCTGGCTTTGCACTTCCAGGTTTGATCCCGGCACACACACCACCACACCCAGCTCTTCCCGCAGCCCCGGGCCCCCCCAGCCCCGGTAGGGGCGATCGCTCAGCGCCGAGCCCAGCGCCAGCCCCGGCGGAGCCCCGGCTCCCACCCGTGCGCCCCAGCCTAGGGAGCCGGGGTCCCTCCGCGGGGGCGCGGCCGCGGCCGCGCGCTCACCCTGGCCGCACGGGTTGCGGATGAGGTTGCGTCCCAGAGGCCGGAGCTCGCAGAAGCGGCCGAGCAGCGCGGGCCCGTTGCGGGGCAGGCAGCTGCGGACGAGCGGCAGCAGCGCGCCGTGCTCGCGGGCCACCAGCAGCAGCCACAGGGCCTGCCCGTCCACCAGCGCGCGCCAGCCGCGGCACACCAGGCGGCAGCGGCGCAGCAGCACGCGCGGGGGCACGTGGCTCAGCACCAGCAGCAGCAGCTCGGGCGGCAGCTGGCTCAGGTCGGGGCCCCTCTCGGGCGGCGACGGGGCCGCGGGGGCCCGGGCGGCCGGCGCCCTGGACGACAAGGTGCCCATAGCCCCGCGGCCCGGCGGCGACGGCGACGGCGGCGGCGGCGGCGGCGGCGACAGTGACCCGCGGGGTCAGCGCCCGGCAGTCCCCGCGGCGCGCAGCCGCCGCCCGCCCGGTTCCGCCGGCGCCCGCAGGGTCCCCGCGTCCCCGTGTCCCGCTTGACGCTCACGCACGCGCCCCTCTGCGGCTTTCCCGTCCCTGCTAATAATAATAATATAAATTTTAAAAAAAAACAAGCATTTTTATTTAGTTGTTAATTTGGGGGGTTTGGGTCACACCCGACGATGCTCAGAGGTTCAGGGGTTACTCCTGGCTCTGCGCTCAAGGGGTCACTCCTAGCGGTGCTCTGGGGACCCTATGGGGTGCCAGGGATCGAACCCGGGTCGCTGCGTGCAAGGCAAGCGCCCTCCCCGTCTTTCGGGGAACACCACCGGCCCCCGTGCACGCTCTCTCCCTTCCTCGTCTTCGCCACATCCCCCTCCTCCCGCTACTTAAACGTCCTCTTCCCGGGCGCCGGGGTTCATTCACTAACTCCCGAAAGTAACGGGACCCTGGAACGGGGAGGGGAATCCAGGCTCTGGCTCCTCGTGCTCCCCGGAGAAACCCTAAGGTGCCCGGCTAGTGCGAGCTGGGGACTTCAGACTAGTACCAGAGCGAGTGACTCAGGATTTGTTTGATCTTAAAAAAAAACAAAAACAAAAAACCACTGCCTAAATGTGAGAATATAAAAAGGCCCTCCCGTTGATCGTGGATTTGCTCTAGCGGGCCCAGTAACGTCTCCATTGGAGACTTTGTTGTTACTGTGTCTGGCATATCTCGGTAGCTTGCCGGGCTCTCCAAGAGGGGCGGAGGAATCGAACTCGGGTCGGCCATGTTGGCTGCGTGTAAGGCGAACGCCCTACCCGCTGTGCTATCACCAGCTGCGACTAAGGTGAGAATATAAGCGGTGGAAATGTCACAGGGGATATCTGGTTGGGACCCGGGCCAAGGGCGTTTCTGTTGCTTTTCTGTGCCCTCCACCAAGTGGGCAACTCATTTGACAGCCGCTTTCTTTTCTCTTTTTCTTTTACTTTTGCATCTTGGATCACACCCAGCGATGCACGGGGGTTACTTTTGGTTCTGCGCTCAGAAATTACCCCTGGAGGTGCTCAGGGGACCATATAGGATGCTGGGAATGGAACCCGGGTTGGCCACGTGCAAGGCAAACGCCCTACCTGCTGTGCTATTGCTCCAGCCCCATGAGAGGTGCTTTCTTGGAGTGTGCTCCCGGTCTTGGTAGCAACCTCAAGAGTTTGGGGACGAAACCTCGTCCCAGGAGGCCAGGTGACTTGTCCCTGGTTCCCCAGGTACCTGCTTTCCACGTCTGCACCACCTTGTTTCTTTTTCATCAGAACGAAAGGTGAGCTCTGATGGATGTTAGAATCCACAAAACTCAAACATGAATTTTTTTTTAATTTCATTAATTATTTTTCTTTGTTTTGGGGGCCACACTTGGCAATGCTCAAGGGTTACTCCTGGCTCTGCATTCAGGAATTACTCCGGGCCATGCTCAGGGATTAAACCCGGGTTGGGCCAACTGTGCAAAGCCAGCCCCTCCCTGCCAGCACCCTCCCCTATCACTCCAGGAATTCCCCCTCCCTCATCCCAAATACGGATTCTGGCCACTGGGAACTTACTTTGGGGAGAGAGACATGACAAACAAGAGGAATGAAGAGCAAATTAGCTACTGCTGGGAAAGAAAGAGTAAAATTGGAATTAAATTATAATTTAATGAATAGCAATTAGGACATAATTTAATATTAAAAAAATCCTCTCCACAAATGTGGATTAGAAGGAGTTTTATTATTGAGTATGAAGGTAGATCATAATATGAATGGCCTGGAATGCACAGCAGACCCGAGAGAATTTAATAGCACCCAGAAGATCTGGGATGCTTTGGGGAGAGAGAGCAGGGGAGGGATTGGGGCATATGTAGACTGGGTGAGTGGACAGGCAAGGCAAGCTCTTTCTAATTCTGGGGGGTGGGTTGTCTACTGGCCTTGTTTATTTATTTTGTTTTGGGGAGGGCACACCTGTCAATGTTCAGGGGTTACTCCTGGCTCAGGAATCACTTCTGGTGATGCTCTTTGGATCATATGAGATGTCAGGGATCAAACCTGGGTTGGCCGCATGCAAGGCAAATGCCCTACCCATTAAACTATCTCTCTGACCCCTGGCCTAATTTATTTTCAGGCCAGTTTTGACTCTTGGGGTTTTTCAAATTCATCCTGACGTGGACGGGTGCGCCTCTGACTAGCTTTAAGACTGAGATAAGAATCACTGACCTTGACCCTTCACAACCAAGGTTAGGGTGTGACCTTCTTCCTTTGGATAGAGACCAGGATGGCCGCCCCTCCCCAACACAATCCATCTTTCCTCACTGCACCCCAGTCATAATAGGGTGATAAACACAGACTCATCCATGCCACAACATTTTTATTTGTTTTTGGGTCACACCCACCTGTGCTCAGGGCTTACTCCTGGCTCTGAGCTCAGGGATCACTCCTGGCAGGGCTCAGGGGACCATATGGGGTGCTGGGATCAAATCCGGGTCAGCTGTGTGCACGGCAAGTGCCCTACCCGCTGTTCTATCTCTCTTTCCCAGCACAATCATTTTAAACCACTCTAACAGAACTCATAGAGCCTAATAAGGAACCCCACCACTCAGACCTCCCTATATTCCCTAGAAAGTGCATGAATAAACCTCCACAGAGTTTAGCATATAATCAAAAAAATATGTTAAGGCTCTGAAGACTTCTCAGAGAATGAACTTGGCTCCTGTCCCAGCTGCTGCTGCCCAAAGGCCTTTTCTTTTTCTGTTTTTTTCTTTTATTCTTTTTTAAAATTGTTTTGTTTTGTTTTGGGGCCACACCTAGCAGTGCTCAGGCTGGCTCAGGGGACCTTATGTGGTGCCGGGGATCAAACGCGGGTCAGTTGTGTGCAAGGCAAACGCCCTACCCGCTTGCCGTACTATCGCTCTGGCTCTCAAAGGCCCTTTCAAGGGTCTCGAAGAAGCTCAAGGACTGAGCACGTCTGCCTTGCATGTGAGATTCAATCCCTGGCACTGCATGCTCCCCCTGAACACCATCCGGAGCAACACCTGAGCACAGAGCCAGGAGTAACCCCTGTACCCCAGCACCGCTGGGTGTGGCAAAACATAAAAATGTCCTTTGCAATTATAAACCTTATGTTACCCTAAGCTCACTCTTTATAATTAATTTTGTTGTTGTTTTGTTTTGTCTTTGTTTGGGGGCCATAAGCAGCAATACTCAAGGCTTACTGGCTCTGTGGTCAGGTCGTTCCCGGTACTGCTGGGGGACCATATCGGATGCTAATCCAATCCAGATAGGCCGCTGGCAAGGCAAATGCCCTCCCCGCTGCACTCTAGCTCCGTCCCAGCTCTTTATAATTTTTAATGTAAAGAAGTAAAAGCAGCTCCTGTTTACCTTGTAACAACAAACACAGTGATCTGCTTTTGTCTCTATTCTCACCATTTGCTCCCATACTTTGGCACAAATCTTTCTCTTTTGGGGGTGTGTGTGTGTTTGGGCCACGCCTGGTGATCCTCAGGACTCACTCTTGGCTCTACACTCAAGGGTCACGTAGAGCAGGCTTAGAAGACCATATATGGGCCATCGGGGATTAAATTTGAGTCAACCACATGCAAGGCAAGTGCCTCACCTACCGTACTATCTCTCTGGAGCCTTTTGCGCAAATCTTAACTATTAAGAAGGAAGAGAAGGGTCATAGCAATAGTATAGTGAGGAAAGTGTTTACCTTGCAGGTGGTCAACCAGGGTTCGATCCCAGGCATGCCCCTGAACACCACCAGGAGTGATTTCTGCGTGCAGAACCAGGAGTAACCCCTGAGCATCATCAGGTGTGGCCCCCAACCCCCCTCCCAAAATAAAAGAAAAATAAAAAAAAGGGAAAAGGAAAGAAGACTCACCCTTCAGGACGACCTGGGATTTCGCTCTCTTTTGCAGTCCCGGATCCCAAACAGGAGCATTTGCCTGGGAGATGCGTGGGGTGTGCAGGTGGCTCAGGGAATGCCCAGGGACCTGGGATTTTCAAGTTGGGTGCTTTTCCATCTGACTAAGCCTAAGCCCAGAATTCTATAGTTTTCTGGTTAATATTTAGTTTAGCTTTTGATTTGGGGACCGTTACCCGATGGTGCATGAGTGCTGCTCCTGGCTCAGGGGTCCCTCCCTAAGGTGCTCAGGGAACCATATGGGATGCTGGGGATGGAACCCGGGTCGGGAACGTGCAAGACAATTGCCCTACCCAAGGTACTATCTCTCCAGCTCCTACCTTCATCTTTTCCTAAAATTCTTCTGGGGGAGAGGGGAGACGCTGGAGGAGATGTTGGAGAAGAAGTTGGGGTCATACTCAGCAGTGCTCAGGGCTTACTCCAGGCTCAGTACTCAGGGATCACTCCTGGTGGGGGCTCAGTCCTCTGTATAGGATTTCCAGGATGGAGCCTGGGGCCGCCACAGGGAGCAGAGAGAGCAGAGCTCCAGGCTCATGCTCAATGCATGCAGGGGACCAGAAGTTTGAACCTGTGGCCAAACGCTTAGAAGACAGGTAGCTAAGTCCCTGTTCTATGCCTCCAGGCCTCTGGGGAAATTTTAAAAAATTTATTATTTAGTTTTTGAGGAGAGCAGTTTGAATTACACCCAGCATCTCCTATGGAGATCAGTTTTTTTATTTTAATTTTTTCAATTTAATTTTTTAAATTGAATCACGGTGAGATATAGTTACAAAGTTGTTCATGATTGAATCTCAGTCACAACACAGTGTTCCAACACCCACCCCTTCACCAATGAATATTTCCCACCACCAGTGTCCCCAGTTTCCCTCCTGTCCACATCCTCCCGTCCTGCTCCTGCAGATACATTTCTTCTCTAAATTTTTTTTTTAAATGAATAAGACTTGACTAAGTCCTATACTAAGATCTCCAACTGGGGAGTTCTTTTCTCTTTCACTTCTACTTTCCAATCACAAATCACAA